ATTTTTCAATAAATTCTTTTGTCAAAACCACTTGCAATCTGATTCATAGCTGAGCGCCTTGCCGCCGGTTACACGTAGTCACAGCATAGTCTGATCTGTGGTTTGGTTGTCATGGTTTTCAGTAGAGTGTATCATTAATAGATGAAGGAATGTTACTCAACGAACGGCATCTTGCTCTTGTGTGTGCATTACCATTTTACATCTTTATTAAGTCGTAGCAGCTCATAAAATGAACGATAAATTCGACCCCCACAGTTTAATGTCTCATTGACTGACTAACATTTCATTGACAACCAATCAAAGAACTGCAATCTTAAAAATCATCTTGAGAGAGATGTTAGACTGAATTACAAATTTTAAATTTCTAATCCTCTAAGATCATAAGATAATCATTAGATAAATATTATAATATAAGCTAAAGATCTAAAGACAAAGTTAAGGATAAAGATTCTATGGTAATTTTCTAGGAATCAAATACAAGTCTAATACTCATTATAAAATAACTGTCATAAATCTCGCATTCTGATTGGTTGGGAAGCATGCTTTATGAGAGCATTCAGCACGCACAGGCCCTTTGCATTTTTTATGACAGAAATAAAAGTTTGCTTGCTGTGCTGTGTGCAGTTATAAAGCACTTGGGGATTGGCAAAACATTTGAGAAGTGACAAGAAGCACTCCACTACGCGTCATGCTTCTCCTAAACACTTCTCTCTTGTTCTGTCAACCGCACATGCTTTATAACTGCACACAGCATGTGCACAAGTTTTCTATTTCATTCAAAAGGTAATTTTTACATTTACTTGTTTGTTTTTTTTCTGAATGAGTATTAGACTTATATTCATTAAGTATGAATATAAAGCTATCCTAAATGATATTAGCTAGAGATCAGGAATGCTGAAGAAGTTAACTACTAGACTAAGTATAATACTCGAAGAAAAAATATTTTAAAGGAGTATTCAAATATTGATAAATAATTTCCAAAATTCTTGTTTGATGTAATTTGTTTGCTATTCTTCTGCAGGCGCTGATGATCCGGGATTGGTGGTTGTGTACTGTAATTAGTGTTTTATTTGAGATTCTTGAATATACGCTGGAACATCAACTGCCGAATTTCTGTGAGTGCTGGTGGGACCATGTGAGTTGAACACCTCTAAATTTAACTACACTACAGATATGTTTATATTCTGCCATACTCATTAACCACATTGGGAAGCATGGGTGGCGTAGCGCTGAGAGCACTTGCCTCTCACCAATGGGACCCAGCTAGTTTGAGTCCTGCTAAGCTCGGTGTCGTATGTGAGTAGAGATGTTTGTTGGTTCTCTCCTCTACATCGAGGGTTTTCCAGGTTCTCTAGCTTTCCTCCCTCCACAAAAATCAACTTCTAAATTCCAACTGGAATCCAGTGGAAGAAGAGCCACTCTGTGGAATCCACTGTTAATCCCATCATCAGCATCAGCATCATCATCATCATCATCATCATCATCATCACCATCATCATCATCACCGTTATCACCACACCATTATCAACATCATAATCATATCACACCATTATCATCAACATCATCACCATCATCATCATCATCATCACCATCATCATCACCATCACCATCATCATCATCATATATTCAAGAATCTCAAATAAAATACTAATTACAGTACATAACCACCACCATCATCATCATCATCATCATCAACCTCCCACACTCAACAGACTGACGCTCTTACCTATATACACAACATTCATAATTCAGAGATTAATAGTTATAAGGCCTTTTTACCAGGAAATGTCATTGCAATTATTTGAGAAATTACGTCATGAAAAGTTTTTCCAGAAAATTTTGTAAAATTTGACTGAATACCAAAAGAAGAAGATATGAAAGATCRAAAATAGAGAGTTTTGTATGTATTTATCACTGGGGGCCTTGATGGTCTTGTTTTGATTCATTTTCAAAACTTCAAATGCTCATATCTTGTAAAGGATTTAATATTTCTTTCATTAGAAACTCACACACCTTATCTAAATCAACAAGTTCAACGATTTAAACAGGTTTTCACTCCAAAAACATTAGTCTTTAACTTAAATGCAAATTAGCAGCAACTGGTTATAAAAGTTCTGTACGTATTGAGCTAATGAGGTGGTGATATGAAATGAAAGGTTTTTTTATATTTGTTCATATTTGTAGTGGATAATGGATGTGTTGTTATGTAACGGTTTTGGAACATACCTTGGGATGAAGACTTGTGACTACCTGGCTATCAAGGTAATTTATATTGCTACTAATAAAGGACTGGCCATAGGTTATATGGGAGGCTGCGAAGAAAGCGTGAGAGTCCCACAAGGCATAGCTGAGTGCGACTCTAGCTTCTTGAGTGATTAAGCAACCAACCAAGTGCAACTAAAACTTGATGGATGTACGCTAATCAATGACCAATCCTTTTATAACATGGCAAATGAGTAAAAACAATTTGGTTAATCAAAACAAATTCAAAATATTTTCAAACTTAATATTTATTACATATGTGCATTATTCAATAACATCAGCAGCATCATCAATTTTTTGGATGCATGCTTACACATGCTAAGTAACCAATCAGCGTGCATTATATCGTGGCTATATTCTAAACCCTCTACATCTTTCTATTTCCTTTCCCATCCCATTCCATTTTCATATTTTTACATTTCCACCTCTTGTGTATTATTAACCTATTATACTTTTCTATTCTTGTTACTAGAATACAAACACTATTAAGTGTGCAACATAGTGGTGAGTATCCCCGTCTGTCATGCGGGAGACTGGGGTACGATTTCCCGCCGGGGAGAGGATTTTATTTTTGTCTCCCCGATTAGTAGGGCACTTGTGCCCGGCTAGAAGAAATAGAGACATTAATAAAGTTATTATTATTATTATATTATAAATACCACTAAATACTGCTAAATTATG